CCTCCCTCCCTCTTCCTCCCTCCCTTTGTGTCTAAGCTCTGTACAGTAGCAATATCTATATCCATAATTTGAAGGAATTTAATTTCCATCTGTGCTTTTATTATCCAGTTTTAAAAACTAGGTAGTTACAGAAAAAACAATAGCATTCATTATTCTGCACTTGGTGTTGAGACTGATATCCTTGCTTTTCCAGATCTTCATATGCTGGTCACTGCAGTGCATTCAAGTGATTCTGAGAAATCACATAAATCTGTTTAAATGAATAAGTGAAGTCTTTTTCTTTAATGTGGACACTAGCAGTGCAGAAGGGATAATAACTTCACTGTTGCATTTTACACTAAATGGCACTTTTGGATACCTCTCAAGATTATACTCACATAATAGCATCTGACAATAAAGGCAATCATGATTGCCCCTCCCCCAACCAAAATACTTTTTATATTTGGAAAACACATTGCTACTTTTTCTTTGCTCAGTGAATGCCTGAGGAAATGTTCCCTATGCACAGTAGCCCTGCCCCCACGTTTTCTGTGCATCCAGTTAGTAAGCATGTCCCAATTCATTGACTACCTCCATTTTTCACATTGTCTGGCAAAATTCCCTGTTCTGGGATTTGGGCACATTTGAACCGAACCTTATTCATCTTATTCATCTTCTTTTTAAGCTAACCAGAATCCGATTCCTGTAGGGTTTGCCACCTATCTCTTTATCATCTTCCCTGCTCTCTGCTGGATCCTTACCAGCATATGAGAAGGTTTATACTGATGTCAGCATGCTAGCAGACTGCATTTTTCCCATGTTAGGAGTATCATCACTCATTCAGCCACCACTTGATAATAAGAAAACAACTTTAGAATTGGGAGAGCAAAGTAAACCTTAAAAGTTATTAGGGTGCAATACAAAGCTAACATCTTGGATCATTAATCAGAAAAATGCTACCAGGCTGTACTTTTGCTGTTGTTCATTATTCAGGGTTTATACAGCAGCTAAACATTGTGTAGTATAGGAACACTGGTGTGATTATTTAGATGAAGAAAAAGGGTTGAGTTTCTAATACGTACAACTCATATTTGAAAAATAATCAGAACATTTTCATTTTAATACTGTGTTTCTCCGAAAATAAGACAGGGTCTTTTTTTCTTTTGACTCTGAAATAAGCACTTGGCCTTATTTTCAGGGAGGTCTTATTATTTTTGAGGTGCAGGAGGCGACAAGCGTTGTCACTTCATGGCTGCTGCTGTATTGCAATATTTTTAGGGAGGGCTTATTTTCAGGGGAGGGTTTATTTTAGCACATGCCCTCAAAAGCCCGATTGAGCTTATTATCCGGGGAGGTCTTATTTTTGGGAAAACAGGGTAGGATACTTATTTTGGTCCTTTACTCATTTGTAATATACTAACTGGATACCCGTGCATCATGACGAAACTATGTGATTGGGCATTGAATTGTATTTTGGGGTGTAGGCTGTTGAGATGTGTGGGTGCTCCTTCTATCTGTTTGTATCTTTGTTCATTATGGAGGAAATATGTGTTGGTTAGGCAGTGGTTGGTCAGGTCCAGGATGTGTTTAGGGGGGGTGTTGTGTTTGTTCTGGATAGCTGTCAAGGCTTCTTTTACAGCACTTGGGTAAAGAGGGATATGACATCGAAGCTCACGAGTAGGTCGCTGGGTTGTAGGTTTTGTTTCTTTGTTGTTTCTATGAAGTGGAGTGAATTTTGTACGTGTGAGGTGATGGATTTTGCGTAGGGTTGGAGTTGTTTGGCTAAGAATTTGGCAAGATTCTGTAGAGGTGAGCCTATGGAGCT